GGGCCCCGCCGTTATGGTGACGATGATAACCTTCAATGGGATGCAAGTAAAGTAGTTGCGAGAGAAGGCACACGCATATAAACACACAGACCCAGTGAATGATTGGCCGACGTTGAGGAATGTTTAAAAGGTGCACGAGAACAACGGATACTTGGTGATCACACGTTGTATTTTAGTCCATGTCAGCCGTACAATACATGCACTCACTGGAATTGCATAGTTTCTATTTTGGAATGTGATATTAAATTTGTGTTAGTGGTTTGCGCCATTGCGGAATCTATCCGAAGATATGGCCGAAAATGACTTTAAAACGATGTCAGAAGGTATGCGAAATTAGTTCAGGCAGGATACAATGAAGCATAAAAAATACCTGTTGAGAGAATTGAAAAAACTTCTAAATGAATGTTCAAGGAGGTCACAATACATTAACCTCATACAATTTTTGTGCTGCCAAACTTTTCTTTATATCCGTAGATGTAAATTGCAGACTACATAAAAATGATTGGAATAAAATAAAGGTACCACTGCAAGCAAAAATTTACACACACCATGTTTCTATCGAGACCAAGTCAAGGAGATGAACAGCTTTCTGTTTACACACTCCTTGACCTAAGATCAGCAGAAACTTTTATCGAAAAAAAGATCTGTTAAGACTTGACCGCTTTATCTAATCTTCAGCATGCACCTGCGGAGAGAAAGGAAAATCTATCCGAATATAGAGTTTTCAGGAATACCGCGCTGTTTTCTTTAAACACCTCATTGGTTTCGATTTGTCCCAATCAGTAGCATTTATGCTACCACCAATGACCATTCAAAGTGATTCAAGACACGAAAATCAACCCCATTCTGAGATAAAAATAGTTAGTTCAATGAACGTTAAGAAACAATCGAACAAGATGAGAACATCAAAAATGCACTACCTTAAATCCGATATTTAATTGTCGAGTTCGTTCGGCCGTGCGTGACAAGAGTTGTTCCCATCTGGTATGAATACTAGCCAGAAGGTTTTTGACCAGAACTACATCCTGTTTCTGGGCATTACACGTAACCTGGGCACCCATGCGGTCCAGCGCGAGCAAGGCTTCTCGATGTCCGTTGATCTCGCGACGCAGATCAGTATGTAATAGGATAAGCTGACCGAGTCGGGCGACAACGCGACTGACCGGTTTTTGTTGCGTTACTGCGCGCTCCATGGTAGTTAGCCACTGCATCATTTTCGCCAATTCTGCATGGAATCTTTCCACCTCAGTCAAGCTAACTTCGAGCTTACGTTTGATTTCTGTCGCCCGACGTAACAATTGTGCATGATGGTCGATCAGTCGGTCCAAGGTTCCTGTCAGCTGTTCAGATGGTTGATCTGTAGTACTCACACTGACCAACAGAGCCGCAGAATTTTTACGCAGCTCATGAAGCTAGAGGGGAAAGAGATATTAGATATCCGGGGTGAAGGTAATTCGGCAGTTAAAATATTACTGTAGTAAAAGACATCAAACCTGATGACGTGAATGCATTAACTACCAGAATGGTACGTGAATAAAGTAATATTTTCTCATATTAAATATCTGATCATATGAATTCACAGAAAGCTACAAACAGTAATTTCACTCAAGCAGTACATCGATTAGATTAGGCGCATCGAGGTTGTGTTCGAAAGAGTGTCGAAAAATTAACCAAGTATACCAGAAGAAACATTGATGAAATCGAACCATAAGCATCACCCAACGAACAGTTTATACTGTCTTAGCGATTAACCCTTTCCCACAACCCGAGTTGCAATATTTGTGAAAAAAAAGACGAAAAAGAGTCGTTTGCCCGAGATATGCACCTTTCGTGAATTGTTTTTTTTTAATAGAAGGGTTGCCAGGAATACTGAAAAGAAACTGAAGGCAATGAGATATAGTGTTTCCCATTGATTTGAACTAAAAGTGAATATACGGAGCACGCATTGCTTAAATTTGGGAGATTGTGGATGAGATAGCGATAGTTGGAATCGATTCAGAACTCCGATCTCCCCATTCTGGCTAGGGTGGGAATAGGTAAAGTCTGACTGACAGAAAATTTTAGATAAAACATAGTAAAAAGATTAAAAAAGTAATCGAAGAATTTGGAGTATTGTTTGAGAATAGCGTGAAAATTTACCTATTGAAAACAAAAATAGAAAAATGGAAAGGATCATCCGAAGACTACAGATTCATATAACTGGTACCGATGCATTCGAATAACGGGTTGGTTGTGTCGACATTGTTTCACCATTCGTAAACTCCTGTTAGTGAATTAGTGCTAACTGTCCCAAAGACAGCAATATGGTTAAAAAATTTTCGCAATCAATTATTAGAGAAGTTTTGAACTACGGAAAAAGAGAAAAAGTGTTTCGATTCTATGGAGGTTATACCCATTAAACGATATTCAGATCTTCTTATGAATCAACAACCATGCGATCAGATCTCATCAAAAAGTCGGCAGCTGATGAAAGGACTGGCCAGAGCAAATTTTTGTTAGATTGTCAACAATTGGGATTGAGAATTGCAAAAACGTTATCACTTAAAACAATCAGAGAGAGAGGGAGAATTGAGAGTTGTCGACGATACAAAATAGTGCAGTCCAAAACGGGTGAGTACGATTAGCAAAACAAGGCCCAAGGATTTACCTCCGCACCGACATCGACCAGACCGTCGTACACTTCGAGAAAACGTCGTAACTGCTCGCGTGCACTATCTGGCAGACCCCCCATGATCCGCACACCTGGTCCGGGGATTCGACGTTCCAATTGTTTGCATCGTCGCATTAACCGATCTACTTCAGCATGGAAATTAAAGGTCTGCCCGAATTTTCGATCAGATTGGGAAGGTCGAATGCGAATGGGGAGTAGAGAAATAATTCAAATGGACGATTACGTGGAAATGACTGTTCCGATAGAAAAATATAATTTCGACAGATCTCCTAAATGAAATTAGGAACATTTGTTAAACGGATGTATATATCCTACACTGCCTTGTTAACGGGCAGTCATTTTTTTCCTACTGAAATTACTACACACAAAGTATCATCGCATCGGATGCGAAGCAGGTACAAGGGTAGATGGATTCGTGTAATCGTTAAGTTCACTCCATACTTTTATCAACTTGAGGGTTCAAAACTACAACTGAACAATATATTTGTGGTATCCAGTCAGAAAAGCGATAGATAAGAGCCCAAAGCGGTAGTTAATGAAACGCAGAGAAGCAAACATTTCACGGAATGAGGACACCATGTCCTCGAGTTCAATCAGCTCTCCTTATTTCTTCCGTTCATCAATTTTCTGCTCCTATTTACTGCACCACCTTACATAATCGGAAAGTTACATGTAATAGACCCATTGAAACAGGGTCTCAGAGGAAGGTTTCGATGGGACAAGCGCCATATACTGAGCTCAGTGATTAAAATGATCCACGGAGAATAAGCAATGAAATCCACAATTAGACGTCTTATAGAAAGACGAAAGCCTGGAGATTATGACATACCTCACGTAGAGCTTCCTCTAGTTGACTTTGCTTGTTCCGTGCACCAGTTTTCAGCTGATCCCACATGACATTCAACTGATTCAAGCGTTCCGACGTTCGGGCTGCCAATGCCGGAGATGATTCACCATCGACTGTCGCAGTAGTTACTTCTTCAATACGTTTTTTAGCTTGTTCTTGCAAACGAACGACAGCCATTTGATGGTTGTTGATGTTGTTGTGAATCACCTACAAACAGAGTGAGGAAGAAAGAATTTCAAGGTAGAAAAATGTGCATGAAAAGCCTGAACAAAAAAAGGAGGCAAAATAACTTGGTGACTATATCAACAAGAAGTATAAAAACATTCAAATTGTGCAAATAATGCTGACTGCCCCAGGTGGCTGAGACTTACCGCTCTCTAATGGATAAACGGACAATATGAAGGAGAGTAAACTTCTAACATGGACGGTGCACTGTGCATTGTTTGAGTGCTGGAATAAGGTATTAAATCATCGAACATCCGGATACCACAGCTGAGCACGCTGAGATAACATTGTGATTAGCCAAGACGCTCACATATACATCTGTCAAAAACAATTCAAACAATTTAGATCCACTTCAGATAACGAGAGGAGGATCTAGAAATCCAAGTTGTTATGTATCAGTTTCATCACCGATCGCTTTGAATGAACTTGTTTGCTGAACTTAGCCAATGACACTGGGTTAAACGCAACTCACAGCACCAATACATAAAAGTGATCATTTGGTCACAACCTCCGACTGAGAAAGGCAAAGATATTTCCCGGAAGAGTGCGTTCAACGGTATCCCCGCACTTCTTTCAGACCAGAAACACAAACCAGTTTGCAAGGCACAGTGAAATACAAACGATTGGCCAATCGTGCTGCAGCATAAACCGTGTAACATGATAAGTACTTGTGTGTGTGTATGCGTGTATCTCTATGCTTTCAAGATGTTAGAAAAAGCTTTGCACCAGCATTCACTAGTGTTTATTGTTGACCAGATGATAAACTTGAAAAGTTAAGGTCCGAAGAGTGAAAGTTTAACCTGACAACAGCGGATAGTGCATCATTAAATCGGGCTTAAGTGTGCTTTACCGTAAACAAAAATAACCTGTATTGGGAAATGAATCTTCAAATCAACCTCCTAAGTGTGTCGCTTACAGGGAACGAGTTTGTGCGAGAATTCGCGTATCAAAGAAGGAACGAATGTGATGATGTGAACCAATTAATTCTAAATTCCCATATGAGTGACTTATAGAAGAAGCGATCTGCTACTATTACTTGACTGATGAGTACATACTTCTTCAAAATAACGATTCAACGCGGCCAAATTATACTGGTAACGTCCAATCAATTTCAAGTAAAGCTGATCGTGATAAACAAAAAAATAAACCCAAAACCGTGAGAAAACACACACAAAAGTGACGTGCAAACCGGTTCCAGTGAGAAACAACACAACCGAGGGAACGGATACATTTGCAAAATGTTAGAGAGGGGGAAGAGAGAAAAACAGGCAGAATGTTGTACACAGTAAAACGTAACAAGATTGTCATGATCATGAATCAACTTGCACTAATAGAAGTTTCAGCTGTCCGAATATACCGTTGTCATACATACATACATCATAAGAAAAATAGTGGCTTGTCTCCGGTGGTTCATTCATTGAACAATAGAATCACGATACATATTCTAAACTCCCCTGTGGATAAAAACTTATTGAGAACAAAATTAAAAATTCCATCCCCATGGCCGGATGTCGTCCACAATTTCGGTAGCGCAATTTTGCATTGGTTCGGATCAAGAGTGGAATAACTGTCGAATAAAGTGATGGCCACGGGAGATCAAGTGCTATTACGATCTGTTCTAAGAACATAGGGGGATGTATGCGGAGTCTGACTGCTATGACTAGTTGTCCCTTTAAATCGGCTGCGAACCAAATGGAGGAGGTGAAATAACTCGGTCACATAAACCAATCGGTCTCACTCCAGACAAACGTAAAGCGAACGAACTGTGATTGGACTTGGTAACGCCGTCTTTCAGTCAAGCCGCTTTGAAAAGTACATGTCCCCTGTAAACTTCCCAGGAATCTTCAAGAAGGATTTTAAATTGCTTTCCAAATCCTTAGCACATTTATCAAGAAGTAGCGGGATTTTCAGTGAAAATTGCTGTCACTTCAACGCATCATACGTCACATCACATCAAGTCATGCTTTTTGTTATCCACAAAAATCATAAATAACTCTTCACATCCGTTACACCAAAATCTTATAAATTGAGACCTATTCTTCCACCCGGTCCCACTATAACTATATGTTTGCTCGTGCGACTGCTTATCGGTCTTCTGTGGTGCCCTATCTTGCGTAATTTCTTGTTGGTCAAGAACGCATCGCTTCGGAACTGAACTCATTCATATCGTAAATTGTTTTGTTTTCTCTTTGTTTGTTCGGGGGCAATTTTGCTTGATCATTGTTGGTTGACTATGTGGCTGCAGAATATTCACCTTTCGGGGTGCATAAAGCAAATACTTGTCTTGACTTGAAGCGTTAATAAATGAGTACCACCATGTCATCAGAACGGAACACGCTGAAATCCATCGAAGTGTTTTGACCAATACTCGCAATGGCAAAAGTACAAAGAATTGCAATCAGACAAAATGATCCTTCTGAACGATACTCAGTTCACCATCATTCCCATTCATTGCAGGTTAGTCTCCCAAGTAATGGCCGCTCTTCTGTGAAAAATAGAAGACCACAGCAAAGCGATGCCACACAATGAGACTAAACAAGTTATGAAATTTAACTGAATCTTAACATACGAAGGGATACATCACTCACCTTCACACGAGCCAGATCAGCTTCCAGACCGCGCACATTACCTCGTCGAATGGGTATCTGGTCTACATTTGCTTGAGTTTGCGCGATCCAATTTATCAGTGCATCCATGGCCTGCTCAAACTCGCCCATTCCTAAGAGCACAGTCTGCAGGCGATGGCGTCGATGATTGCTCGAATCGAGTAGCTGATCCCATCGACGATTCGCCCCGGCCAGATCGGATTGCAGTGAACTGGGCATAGTGGCCAGACTCGTCGATGCATCTGTATTAAGTCAATAATAGACAGCAAGGGAAAAACACTCATTAGAAGCTAATAAACGGGTATAGGAAATTAAGGGCTCGTTGGGAATAGCAATATGAAGCAAACATTAACATTAGCATACAATATAAAATCACTGAAGATACAAAGAGAACTTCAAAAATGTATGAATCACCTTATAACAGGAAGCAGCTCGGTCTCGGTAAAGAGAGGAAAGATCCGTTAAATGATGAGATTTATTTCGGCCGGTTGAGGTTAAAGATAACGAGTGAAAAGCCAGGTGGCCGGTCGAACCACAAGAAGAAACTCCTAATGGACAAAAACAGACCCCATAAACTTGATATTTGTTACGTAAGATAAGAAATAATAGGAAAGAAACCAAAATATTGAAAGTTGTGAAACTTCTATCCCAAAATACCAGTTCGTACATGATTGGCATCTTCAACCGGAACACTTTGATCATCAAAATGAACAGATAGACAGACCTAAATTAATCAGTTGCTTACCCGAATCTAAACCTTCAGCATCCGGTGTGGTCAGTTGTCCAGCAGCCCAATTCAAGGTCTCTAAATCACTATGTTTGTCCAGCAACATCTCGTTCCATTTGGCCGCCTCATCCAACTGGCGTAGTACAGTTTTGCTGTCACTCCCGATTGGCTCCATCTGATCCCAACGCGTCTCTTGTGTCGATAACCAGTGCATGAAATCGTTCAACTCCGTCTGACAGAAGGATTTGTGGGCGGTGCGGAACAAATAGATGTGTTCAACAAACTGTTTTATCCTGCTCACCAGATTATAAGATTCACTTTAGAAATAGAAAAAGACAACAAACTGGCATTTCTAGACGTCTGTCTGAGTCGTAGATTGGAAGGGACATAATCATTTTCGTTGCTTTATACCGCTAAAACTGAAAAGGAATTTGGTGCTCTGCTTAGCAGACAGAGCAAGAAAGATTTGTAGTGGGGACACAATAGAAAAAGATCTCCGGTTCTTACGCACTATCTTCACACACAATGGCTATCCGAATCGATTGGTTAACAAGATGATTCAAGGCAGTGGAGATATTGTGAAGAACACCGGGTTCAGAAAGAAGTCCGTATACATTACCTTGCCATTCAAGGGGGATAAATCAGCAGAGGTAATACAAAGGCGACTATCCGATGCTGTTAGTAAGACCTTCTGTGCAGCAAAACTCAATGTTTTGTTCACGTCCCAGTCAAATGTGCGTTTACGACTAAAGGACAAAATGCCGGATTCTGCCGTCTCGTTTTATGTGCACTCATTTACGTGTACCTGAGGAACAACCTACATAGGCCGCACGGTCAGGCGTTTGTCCGAACGAACCCGGGAACACCACTCCGCATGGCTAAATACAGAAATGATTGGGTTCAAGTGCAGCGGTTTCGCACCTAGTTGAAACAAATCGCTGTGAATGTGACCGAGGCATTCCGTCCCCAGTATCGGGTTCGTGGTTGACTATCAAGGCTGGTTCGATGTCGTATGCTGGTAGCGGAAGCGGTAGGAATTCTTCTGCACAACCCCCCTCTGTATCCCAAAAAACAATTTGTGCAGGCCCTTAAGCTCCCCTCGCCCACCCCCCATATTCTGAGTGGTCCTGACAATCGGATGATCTAACAATGCGATCACTGAGAATTTCACATCCGGTCCGAAGACGAAATTAGCCCCAGATAACCTATGAGGTTATTTTCCCCTTTCCAAAACAATTGTTTGGTTTTACGGTTAAATACGATTTATATATAAACATCGTGATATTTATTATGATCTGATGATGTTTCTTCATTCAAGATTTAAATGTAACTTTGGCTGATGCGTGTGGAAAGCGATTCCGTTGCAACGAGAAGAGATAGTTCTGTGCTCATAAAGCTGTTACCCGGATTGTCATATTAATCTGGGTCCCAGGGATTAGGCTCTCAGTGACGATAATCCAGCAGTGCCCGGGATGAACATGAACTTCATTGAAACAAAATCTCAACATTTAAGAACAACTCATCCTCCCCCAGCTCCCAATATGTACAACACAATCTACTCTTAGGCGGCAACAGGACACGTATAAAACAATATTTTGGTTGACATTGGTTGTGCATTTAAATAACACTAATCTGTATCAGATTCACCTGAAGAATTGACAACCTCTATAGCAGAACCCAATGTTACCGGCAAATGGTAAAACTCTCTGAAGATCAAGAATTTTAGAACAATGCAAATCAAGTTGTAAGATTGACGCACCTTGAAGGACTTGGCAGCCGCTTCTTGTTTATCAATTTGTTTGGACACGCATTCCAAATTGGTTGACACCTCAGCATGCAGTGCCTCCAGATCACGAACCGTGTAGTTCACCTCGTTCCTAATGGCTTGCTCTTCGTCCCGACGCAATTGAAAACCACCCTTTTCAGGTTCATCGGCCGAGCCACTGACCAATTCTATCAAGCGGTTTCCAATCTGTCGACATTCCGCTAACTTGGAACTAAGTTGCGCAATCTGCTCGCTAAGACTGTCTAGATCGGTGCGTTGTTCGATGTAACTGTGCGGGTCCAATGGATCCCGCCGGACAGGAGGCTCAATGGTTGGACTGCAACCAGCCGCAATCATGCGAGCTATCTCATTTGCTTGTACCAATCTGGCTTGTAGATCATTTACGACAGGCCAAAACTCATTGGATGAGGTGTGATGCGCACTGTTCAGCTTCTCCACACGTGATGCCAACTGGGCTCGAAGTTCCACCCAATCTGTTTGCAGTTTCTCGGCATTTCGCAAAACTGATCAGTGTTGAATGAGAAGAGGAGAAATATACGATTAGATAAATCAGCAATTGTGAAACTGAAGTGCTAGATTTCTGCAATAAAAGCAAGCGGCGACGGAAACAAACCAATCAAAAGGCAAACCAAGCGTGCGAGGGAAGAGCGAACAGTAAAAGATGATGTAGAGGTTATGAATGATGTACCCCGCAAGATAAAAAACGGAAAGTAAGTGACTAAGAAGCATGCAATGAATGTGCAACAATGCACCAACTGAACACACGGAAACCGCGGGCTTTGGTCGAGGAATACATGAAACAAGTTCATGTGAATCACATATTTCACGAATAAAGTATTTTGTGCTCCCATCTGCCCACTAATTCGTTGAAGCTTCTTTCACACAAAATGTGATCATTACTCAGATTCAAAAATAAAAAGTTGCAAAAGCACCAAGTGCACTGATCGAGAAAACGAACAGGACTTATCCAAAGTCAATAGGGGGAGTTTATAGGCCGGGGCTTAACATATATTGTTGACCGAACCGTGGAACAAGTCCGAATCCCTTGATGCATTTTGAACTAATGTGACCAATTTAGTTGGAGCCCGTATTCTCAAAATGGCATAGACAACGATTATACCCATGCGTCAGATCCCGGGTATGCATTGGCCATTTAGTTGCTCGTCCATGTAAGGCGATTTGCAAAACAGCTCTAACGAACAAAAGTGATCGTGAGTGATGTAATATACTGGGCTAATAGTACGAAATTTACGGATTACTGACAGTAAGTACCGATTAACGGACATCCAGCTGTAGCAATTTACAAGTGCAACATAATCTGCTACTAGGTCGGAACAATGTACACCAAATCCAGTCCAAGGAACACCAACTGATGGTTTGATCCCGATAGCATAATGATTCATTTTTGCGGAGATGGCTAGCGTGGCTATCAAAGTGAGCGAAAAAGGAACAAAAAACACGGAAACTACGTATACAACGAAGAGTGTGCGCGCGAGAGACAAGCAACATTCTCACAATAAAACTGCCAGGGAGAGGGAGAAGCATGCAAAAACGTGTGCAACCGCTAGCATAACCAGTGGGAGGGGAGAAAGCTTACTGGCTTTGTGCAGCTCAATGACCCGATCTATAACGGACAAAAATAGTGTAAAAAAGGGCGTCTCATTGATAAATGTTGGTCGGAAAATAAGGTCAGCTCTACACGAAACCGAGGTAGGTTATCTGTACAGGTATTACCAACAGAAAACAAACTAACGTATTCAGAGTGAAAGAAAACAAACTCACCGGAATCGGCAGCAAACGGATCGGTTGGAGTGGTTGCTTCATCGTCCTCAGCCTTCTTTTGTGCACTTTTAGCCACCAAACTTGGTTGCAACTGAGCACGGACGCACGCAGTGAGGGCTTCTAGTTCAGGTAATCGATGATTCAGGGTTTCGATGAGAGCAGTTGCTTCGTTCAGCTGCTCTTCCAGCTGATCTGGAAGTACACTTGTCATTGGGCGTAGTCGACCCATCGTCACGGGCTCACTAGGCAATCCAGAATCGGCAATCTGTTCAGTTTCCACGCTACCAGCAATCACTTCGGCCGTAGAAGGTGCCGGTCTGGCTTGCAAAGAAGTAGCCGAGATCGGTATACCCAGATGGGCTGCTTGGTCTGCTATGTTGGCAAACAAGTCGGACATAGCATTCAATTGTTCCGCAATCTGTATTTTTAGCGAAAGGAGAGAAAGCGAGTCAGCAGTATCAAGGTAGTTTATTTTGTAAAGAATATTAATATGAACTCAGCCTCAGTGCACTTTAGTGAACGAAAACCTGAAAATCCGTGAACACTGCATGAAAACTTGAGCACGCACTACAGTGAAGAAACTTAGACAATGTGGTTAATTATGAGATCTACGTTAGGCAGAAAGCGACGTACCTCATCTGATTGCTTCAGACTGGTTTCCACGCGGTTTAGTCGCACACGAGCCGATTTGCTAAGTTCAACATAACGGTCACTAGCCTGTTTTACTTCTGCTTGTACTGTAGGGACCAAGCTGTGAGCGATCAATTGCATGAGTGGTTCGCTGGTGCGTATTACTCGATCCAATAATGCTTTGTGTCGATCCACGTCTTCCACCAATGACTGCAAATGAAAAAGATGAGTTTGATAGAGCTTTATCATCTTGTAGTTGTAGGCACGACGAGAAACAAATTAAAATTACTAACGAGGCACGCATACTTTTGTTCGTTGATACCATTCCCGTTCCATATTTAGCTCCGGTATTCCATCCGTAGTCGTTTCGGTTCTGCCCGGGCTTGCAAGTTCATCCAGTTGAATTTCGGTTGCATCCAACCAATTAATCAACTCAGCTAGGTCATCATGATAGGCTTTCGACAAAGGACCAGCTTCTTCTAGTTTCGCTTCAGTTTGACCCAAATTGGTCTCCAGTTGCGCGACGCGTTTATTGACAGCGTCGACTGAGAGAACCAGTTGTCGGCTGAGTTTGTCTCCCACCAGTGCTTTTCCATCAGCGGAACCAGGTCGAAATCCAGCGGCCTGGATCAAACCAAGAGAGGTGGATAAAAGTGTGTTCGTTTTCTCGGCTTGTCGCTTCTTCCAGGCTTGACGGAAACAACCGAGATGATAGTGCAATTGGTCCAGCTGGTTTGGTTTGTATGGAAGCACAGCCAGGGAAGGATACTCCTCTAACACATGCGAGTCGTCTGGAATGAGGTCATTCTCTGAACCTGTGAGCTGAGCGAAATGCTCCTCCTCAACTTCAGCGTCACCATCCAGGTCAGATGGAGAGGCATTGGAGTTTGGATCTAAACGACGTAAGGCTGCCGATAACCATTTGGATTCAGTATCCAATTGGGCTACAAGTTCCAAAGACTGGCATCGTGTGCTTTGAACTTGTTTCGCTAGTTCGGATATCTGAATTGTCACGAGAATAAGAAAAAGTAATTAGTCAATAGAGGAAATATTCTTCGAAAGATTTAAATTAATCCACACAAAATAAACCAAGAAGTCAGGTACACATCTTGAACATTAGGTCCAACAAGAAAGTCGGAAATGGAACTCATTATTTACAAGACAACCGATGAATATTTACAGTTCCCTTGATGGTTCAAACACATACGAGAAACCTTTTAGAAAATTTATAAGTTGAATTCAGCGGAGAACATAAATGAACGAATGCCTGAATTTCACTCTGTACACGCCATACTCACTCTACCTATCTCCAGTCTTTGAGTGCTCTATCTGACCTAAGGCGAAGTGCTCGATTTGGTCCACCAATACATGCTTTCATATTTTTTTCACCAATTTGTGAACTAGTTTACTGGCCATTTTAACGAATGCTGTTCAGTCGGAGACAGGCAAAGCACATTTTTGTATCAGCGTGATTGAGCGCATCTCACCACCTGGTTTCGAATAAGTGGAGCCTAATTCAAGCCATTAGGACATCAGACGCATCCATTTTTATGTAGATAAGAGTATTCTACCATAAATTGTACTGGCGGTTGTAGTATGCATTCAGTCACTGACATATATGGGAAGTCGTATGAAAGCCAGAGCTTATGCAAGAAGAGAAAAACATTACGCGGATTTCTGCATACGTGAAAAAGTATCCACCAGGGAGAGTAGCTCAATAAGTAGTATAACTTCTAATCTAATCTAATCTAATTGTCCTATCACCGCTGCCACAAAATACAACTTATAATCAAATGTACTGAATGTCATAATAATAAACTGATTATTTCAGAAGCAAACAGATATTTTCTCGGACTTCTTTCTCCTAGATAAAAGACAACTTTCAAAATGCGTCAATAGCAAAACAAAAATGATTAGAAATTATAACTGTAGTGTTAGTTTATTTTGTATGCCAGTTTCTACGCATTGGTAAAAGACATGTGAGTTCACCTTGGTCATGAAAGAATCAAAGGTATCTAATTCCGTCTCGATATGATCGGCTAAACTGATCATTTGCGGCTCGGTCGTATCCGTTGATTTGAAAATTGGGCGTTGAGCCAGGCGAAGGCAAACTGGTGATCGTTTCAACTGGTCCCAGGATTGATGCACGATCTGACCCTGTGGTGACAGAACACTGATAGCCTCATTCTCGAGCTGATCCACTGCAATGCGTCTCAGATGGATTGGATCAGCACTTTCTTCCACCTGTTTGAGTCTGGTGACGGCAGCTGGTAAACGCATACTCAGCGCATGCAACGCTGTACTCATGCGTTGAGCCAAAGGCAACGCCATTTGCAGGGTAGTAACCCGTTGACGTGCGTCTTGTTGCAATTCATCAAACAAATCACACACTGTGCTGATTCGGTCGCGAACTGATTCTGTGTCCAATACTGGAGATGTAAATGAAACATTTGGCGAATCAATTGAATGTATTTAATATATCAGTGCATATGCACAAAGTAATATGCCATACATGTGAGGTTGTTATCGAAAGAATTTTTCAATAACAATAATGATAATCTTGCCAACGATCTTTTGTTTCGATTCACAGAACAGATAGTTGTACGGTAATTCGTAACACAGAAACTATGATCAATCAAAAACGGCCTGGAGACATCGAATGATCAAATTCTGCAATGATAGAGTGATTCAAACATACTGCAGGATCGAATTGATGGCGACCTAAACCAGTTAACCATTCACCTATGAAGAGTAGTCCAATTGAAATGCCTGAACTACACTTTTGTTTATTACATTGTGTTATTTCGCATTCCGCAAAGCTACCTAGTTGGATGGCAAGAAAAACCGAATATTCGCATGATGTCAGTCAACCAGTGAATGGAACCAAAAACGATACACAAAGAAGACTAACCTTTATTCGAAGCAATAAGAACATCAGCATCTGTTTTCAGCTGATCCACTATCGCCCGGTATCCGTCCAGCTCTTTGGAGATTTTCTGAATAATGCGAAAAAAGAGTAATCGATAGCCAGAGAATTCGGCAAGAAAAGGCGACTACAATTTTTCATAACATCTGACTGAGGAAGCTGGACGGAACCTATACTACATATATTGTGCATAGCTAAGACAAATGAGCACCTGTGGAAACTGGGGCGCGATCCTGGTTGCATCAAACTTCCTTCCCCTATGCAGTAAAAAATATCACACAGCAGAGCTGAGATTTGTTTGGATTATCAGGATTATTTAAATCAAACACAACGGAGGACGACGGGGAATTATTTTTTGGTAATGATGCTATTAGAAGATAAACAGTGCATCCTGTATACCAAAAATATAATCCTGAAGGTTGGCTTGTTTGTTATCTCCGAAGGTTATGCACAACACGCAAGCTAATCACGTAACAGTTATCAAATTGTGACTGTTGCGACTTTCGAGAATTCAAACTGAGTTTCAAGGTCAGCACGAGCGATATAAACAAACCAGCCCTAATTGTGCAAATTAGACCGTCGAAAAGAATCTTCTTCGAAAACACTCTGATAATGTTATTTTTGTTCCCTTACATAGGCTGCTTTAGGAAGTCATTGATTTATATCCCCATTCCGACCCATAAATTAAAGGAAAATATGAAGGTACTTTAAGCTACCAGTAATTGGTGGTTTCAAGATCGTTAAATATTTAAAACATATTTATCGTTCTCAGTGGGATTCTGAAAACGTGCTTTGTTCACGCCACACTGTCTGAAACTGAAACCAACTCAAAGTGACTAATAGGAGTCGCGTGACGTTACCTTAGAAACATAATGATCGATGAAACAACCGGTATATAACAGTGAACCAAGGATTAAAAAAATGAGTGCACCTAATACTTGGGAAATTGAATATACAACACAACGAAAGATAAGCTGATTAGTAAAATAGAAAAAATGACGATCCGACACAGTGGAGCTCAACTGTGAAAAATGGTAACGCGACAGGTCTCTTGGGTGTATTGACTCTCACACAGATACAGAAAAACCGCCTTGAAAGTATCAGTTCGATTGGAGAGGAAACGTTTAAAAATCAAATGATCAAGCTCGACGAACAACTGAACACGGAGATTGATGTTTCACTGAGATTGAGTTATGAGTAACCTACCCGAACTTGCTTCAGGGCGGCTCGCACATCGTTCACCAATTGCGAATCGCTCGCATGCTTCGGATCGATGGGCGAAGCCGGTTGGTCCATTCGAGTCTGAACCTGCTGAAGCCAGAGCATAGCCGTTTGCACTCTGTCCAATAAAGCCTGTTGTGCTTGCTCAGCATCAGTGGTCTGATTCAAATGAGTTTCGATATGTTCAGCAAGTTCATTGTATGCTTCCCGGAGCTGATTTACCTCTGACTTCAAACGGTCTGTCGACTCGAAGTGATCGGGTGATTCAGCCATAAGGCGTAATAATGCGTCCAACTGTTCTACACTGTTCGCGTGTGTCATAGTTCGGGCGTACATCAGTCGATAGTTATCGCGCTGTCTGGCCTGATCCTCGCCTCCTTTGGCCGCGCGTTCCGACTGGGTATGCCAATCCTCAGCGATCTAGACGACGCACAAAATGAGTATTGAGAAAACAAATAATGGCAAAGCATAATGACCTCACGGATTCAGACGTAACCCTTAAAGAACAAAGAGGTTTTCATCTCATCTTATTTTAGCAGTTGTGCAGTCCTACAATGAAATGAGTGCTATTAATATTCACCAGATAACTGACAGACAGAAATAGGTAGAATCAGTTTGCAATATGAAAACCCATAGTTATTCGATACCGTGGGTGTACGAACGGATTAGCTGAGATGATTAGCGTAAAAACATGCGATACATTTGTTGAAGTGGACAGCCTTCCAGTATGTATTTCTTGTAAAACGGCAACAGGGTATCTGTTCCGCTCTCGAGACTTAGAAAGTATGATGAGAGAATAGCTAATTTGAATGGTGAATTTCAAAGATGGAATTGAAATGTCACGATTATCCTGCTGGAAAACTTATAGAATTTCTCATATTCAAGTCCTAGAGTAATCGCTTTCTATAAACCAAACGATATGTTAGTGCTCCTGTTGTTTCTCAATAAAAATGAGCAATTAAATACGAAGTTATAGCAAGTTTATTATTCGAAATCCAATTTTTTGAAACTTAAAGTAACCAACTCCTAGTCTCATACGTCAAAGATCACATACAATTAATTAGTTGCCTCCAAAAATTACATCGTATATATGTATATAAAAGAAAGAAGCCTTCCTGAAAATATCGGTGTTGGAAGAACGGGAAAGTAGAACTGACCTCTTCCAAAATTGTCTTCAACCTGTGAACACCTTTTTCGACCTGATCTAAGCGCGCTGCAGATAAATCACGCTGCCTTCCAGTGGTCATACGGAGGCTGTTCTGTAATTCCTCAATCGCATCACCTGCGGCTTTCAATTCCAGTTCCAAGTGCCGCTGACCAACCTCGTCTGTGGACGATGCCGATAGATGACGACTGAGATCGCGTAACACACGCAAATCTTCCGTGACTTTACGCAAAAGATCATCGGGATTAACTGGGGTAGGTTCAACTCCATCTGGTCCAGGTGATGGACTAAACCAGTCATATAGCATGCAGGTGAGGAAGAAGAGAGAGATAGCATTTTATCTAAAGAGCCAAGTGCACATTCAATCACATATGAACAGAGAAAAAACAACAACAACGAAAGTGGTCTGCTCTACATGACACTCTCCTGTGTACCTCAATCCCACCATTTTCCACCATTATCGTTGTTGTGTTGGCACCATGCTTGTTCGCAAGCCGGCGATATGTACAAATGCAAAATGAAAAATATGCTTCAGTGCAGAATAGATGACCAGTTGGATATTTATTAATACTGCATGGCTACATTTATGATAAACAATACAAACTGAAACTAATGAGAACAGGACCACCAGGAATGTAATGCTTGCCTACAATTTCTAAGCCTAGGGACCTGCTCAGACCAACTTTTATGCATGCGAAATTCGCGATATCGAAAACTCGCTCGATGCTTACAAGGACATTCTGAACCCCATCTGTTTTCGAAAATGTTGAATATTTTGTGATTATATTTCTTCAGGTAACTTTCCTGTTGTTATCCTTCCGGAATACTTAGGTTAAAATTGCGTGTTGTAAACAAGCCAAAAAGTTGTTATTCCTCATCCAAAACTGAATATTTGTGTGGTTTTGTTTCGCCTCAGTATTTTTCTTTGAATTTATGGTTATTTGATGCCTTATCTGCAAAAGCTGATCTCTCTCTCTCTCTCTATATATATATAATTATATATATATATATATATATGAGTGAGTGTGTGTGTGTTATACCCAACATAAACTTTTGGAATCACAGTACATTCACATGGATTCCACATGTAGATGACCAGAAAGCTTAATTTTCACCACTAAATTTCCTAGTACCTTTAACCCCCCGGATCAATATACAAGGTTCTACTGCGAAGAGTATACAAAACTTGAAAAGCTCTCCAGAGAACTCACATCGTGGTGCATCTGAGTTCGAACCTTGGGGTGCTCAGTAAACAATCGTAGCCGTTACATGATAACACACATGGAAGATGATATGATTAATTGGAACTGAACAAACAAACACACTGACTAACCTTAGTGGTGGAGATAAACAAGCATCCCGGGCCTGTTTCACTGCGTGCGAAAGATTCTCGCGCAAATGTGCAAGCTGTTCACTCTGAGCCAGTCGAACGTTCAGATTGTCATTGACCGTTTGTGCTTGATTTTCCAAACTTCTTGTCTCTTCCTCCAATTTATCCAGCTTGACCAACCAATCCGACGGAGTGGTTGGTTCACGTGACACCGATACGGTAGGTTGCAATTGGGCTCGGAGTTTTTCCAAGCTCTCTTTGCATTCAGCAAGCTAGAGGAGAGTTCCAAGGATTATAGAAAGGTAACAATGAAACCATAACCACAGAAAAACAATAAATGCTTCAAAACAGTGATAGAAACTGTAAAAATGTGATAAAAAACACGAAAAATCTAAATAACACATGTAAACGCAGCTTTTGATGCAATGGTAAGCGAAAACTAGTTTAAATTGAGTCATTTTGAGCGGAATGGAGATCGAGCAGAAAAGTAACACGTACTCCGACAAGGTGGAAATAGTTTCACTGAAGAAATGTTATTCCATAAAATTCACAGCGGAAACATTGATTCGTTTGCATAAAACAGTTTTCATTGTTCAGGTGACTTGATGATTTCAATTAGAATGCAGAACTTCAAAAACATGTGAGTGCAAAACCTGCACAGTCAGCATGCATCTAGGTTCTTATTAAACAAAAGCAGCCCGAAGAATTTCCGATAAGAGATAGTTGGAAATCTTTACCAATTTTGATACAAAGTGATATTTATCGCACTTTGTTCTGGGGAAACTTCAAGACTAACCACCATAACCGCAAATGAGAGCTTGGACGGAATATTTGTGTAGTTCGCCGTTGAACCAAAAATGTTAACAAGCTGGATTTAACGTTGACTACATTTAGGCATGACAATAATCACGAACAACAATAAAGATGCTTTAGTGCAGGTTAGTGAAAATATTGACACGCATCGATATTATTGTAGAGGAACACACATGAAACCAAACTCACACTTTGTGTTGTTTCTGCGAGACCACGTGTGCGTTCCCTCAATGTTTGTGGATCCAGGCCCGGGGAAGCAGTGGGGTATGTGGACAAAACCTCATCTGCATTGCGCAGTTGACGAGAGATGGCGTTCAGCTGTTTTATCAGAGCTACAGTCTGATTAGACTCGGCTGTCTCTGCAGCTGATCCGAGATCATTGTTCAACGAGGTGACGATTGCCTCAAGCCGCTTCCGAGTGTTTACCACGTCGGCCAATAATCCACCTACAGAACGTCGTGGATCACCATCCCCGATGGCTTTGAGCGCGGCTTCAAGGTGTTGGATTGAGGTGATCATTCGAAGTGAGACTGAGGCTTCTTCCACCGATCCAACAGGGACGGATTCGTCTAGCAAATTGAACAACTCGGATTGCAAGCGGCGCATCTCGTCTTGGGATGGTATGGATGGTGGATAAGTAGAAGAACCTTGTCCAGGACTTCGACACAAGTCTTGTTGCACACTTATCCATTTTGTTTCTGCTTCGTCCGCGGCGGATCGATACGCCTGAACTGCTTCTTGGGCAGCACCCAGACACCGGTTAACATTTTGCATTTGATGCTGTTTGAATGATAATTAGCGCACAAAGTGAAAATAAAAGTATAAAACCGAAAACTCATCACGAAATTGACCTTGAAACATAAACGACGCTATGATCTGATTCCATATAACGGCGGAAAAAAGCGTAAAATGAGGGCTTTTAGAGCAGCGCAATAACTAGTTTCGAATAGGCGCAACTGTGAACCAAACATCGTGAAATTCAACAATACAAAGTATTCCTCTGAAATGCATATCACAAACTGACCACGAAATCTTTTCCGTTCAATCCCGTTAAATATAAGGAGGAACTTATTCCAAGGATAGGCATATCCATAAATGTTTTATGAGGTGCTGAATAATCTTAAGGAGATATTTGTGCAGATATGATTTAAAACCAAAAAGTAAATTAACTCGCAAATGTTTTATTTGAAACTTGACATTGTATCATTTCTGATGAGAAACATTCATTTTCTTCAGTATTACTTCGTGCATATACGTACAAGTCTCCAGTTTCCGTCTGTTCATCTACAAAATGGACCAAACAGGACCCTATTGACAGAGCGCGTGTGATCGCCATCCCGGACCAATCAGGAGAAAAGAGAAATTAATGCAGGAAAATCCGCTTGTAGACGTCTATCCAGAGAATCTTATTAAAAAATACTACAAAAAGAACGTAACCTGATCAAATCGGAAGGAAAAACAATATTCATATCATATAAATGAGATGAAATAAGCAACCACATGAGACCCGATTTCAAACCAACTTTGAGGAGCGCATATATGGCTCTCATAAATGCGTATTGTGCAGACCGGTGTACGTTTTTAGTTGGTATGATCAGTCTAAAAGCCGTACTAAGTGGAATGCCTCAAACACTACCTACAATTTCAATCGAAGTTACGGTGATATATACGTAGAAAACACGGATCGGTTTTGTTCAACAAGTGTCGTAGCACATACCTAAGACAGTATTGACCTCAATGACGCAACAAAATCAAACAAAGTAGGCGAAAGCCAGAAATCTGACTTTCGAATTCCAAGAAAACCCATTGCAACATCGGAACACAGGTCCGAAGGCCTTCAAACTGACACAAATTCACTACGCAATCAACTTTCGATAACAGAACACCAAGTTAATCAGATCTGATCGTTCGAATTCATTTTGCATAATCATAGTTCAAAATGTGGCGTCTTGTGAGCCAACGCTAATCATAACATACAACCAATGTTGAACTGCAGCAAAACAATTGACTCACAAAATTCACCTACCTTGACACAAGCCGAACTCCGAATACACCTTAACGCACATTTTACTCGTATAACCCGCTCAGTAAATACTACTGTGGAAGCCGAGTGGTTTAGGTCATCAAAATAGCGACCTGAAGGTCTTGAGTTCGAACCGCACCACCATCGCCCATCCTCTTCACTTATTTATGTCCCCAGGCAGCCTTTGTACGGCCGCGGCCCTACCCATGAAAACTGATTGTACATTTGTAACTCAATAAACAAAAGTGGAAGCAAAAGCATTTATTTATTTACGATCATCTTCCTTACTTGCCCCTATGAATGTTATATTCTGAGTCAAAATATTTCGACGACGAGGAGGATAATCAAGTGCTTGCACCTCTCACTAACTGCCTTTTTCTGCGCTCAGGAGTTAACTTAGGAGGACGCGGTGTTTGAAACTTGATATTTTATTAGTACTCGATGAACGAATGTCTAATGCATCTTTATGCACATTTATGATGGCAACACAAGCTCGCAACGAAACTTGATGGAAATATTTCATGCACTTTTAGAGCTGAAGAAATCCCCTCCAACAGGGAAATAATTTTGATAAGAAGTGCGCTTAAGAGTCCATCGGGTGGACTAGCTGCTGAAATATATATTTTTTATCGAGTGGTGTCACAAAATAATAGGCTGATATTTAGCAACCGCACCGGAAATGGAGCAGGGGCGTAACACACTGTAAACGTACCATTCGGTTTTGGGCCATATCACGAATATGTCGTAGTTGATTGCTCAACGACTCGGCCCTATGTGTGAAAGCTTCGGCGCGTTGTGCGCGCAATCGTTCGTTGCCCACATCTGTATCGTCAACTTTCAGTTGGTAGAGAGCGACTAACTGTACATCCACTTCACGCATGATTGCATCCATGCGATCTTCAATCACTGCAAACTGCCCGGGATCAGACAGAAATGAACCACTGCTTGGGATCACCGGTTGGGAGATTTCATTCTCGCGATTAGCAATCCAGGCCTAAACGTAAGAACGGATGGGGCGGGGAACCAGAAGAAATAGACCAAACGCGAGGAAGAATATCGATTCGATGAAACAAAGCGAGGAATTTGAAACCATTCCCATGGAAATGCATAACAATTCTGTAGTCCAATCACTAACCTCAATTTGATTTAGGCGCGTCAAGGACGTTGGAGGATGATCAACAGCGGCTTGAAGCTGTGACTTTTTATCCTGAACGGCACGCTGAAGCAAACGCAGCTGTTCCATAGCCGTCTTCATAGGGTCAATAATCGCCAGCTTGAAGCCTGGTTCCACCTCTGGTTTCTTAAGATCCTTGATATCGTTGCTCTTCTGTTGAATTTCCTCAATGATCGCCTATGCATGTTGAAAAACAAAGTGAGTTGTGAACGAAATGAAAGAAGAAAAAAAGAATTTCATTGGTTCATCTCATAACCGTTGGAAGCTTCGGTGTGAAATCATGAACTTGCTAAGAAGTAAATACTGACACCGAACTGAAACATGGAACGTAATTGGAGATAAACGGGAATAATCGACCGAACATGTCATAAACTCCTAGAGGTACCGCGCGATCAACTGTCAATTCACTATGGGCTATCAATTTTAGTTCAGCAATTGATCCCAGCTGTGTTTTCTACTGCCCCTTTCATCTTTGTTAAAACCAAATTTTCGTCCTTTTGCATTAACTCTGCTCGTAAAGGATGAAACTTTTATGAAACTATGATTTCTATTAGCTGTTTAACACAGTTGATTCGCATCGTGAACGCTAGTATCCAAATTGACTCTACGCGATACAGGGCGACAAATTGACCTTGTGGAAAAGTACAAGAACATTGGATTCTCTGGAGCCTAAGCCCGGAGATCAACTGCACAAACCATCAAACCGGATGCAAAACGATTTGGCCAAAATAAATCATTTCATTGTTTTAATTGATGCACAAACCTAATTCCGTGTTCGATTTATGGGTTTCTCATGAGAAATAGTCATTGTTTCTGCCAATAGCGTGTGAATTCTTATTCTTATTTAGGGTCATTCCCCGGAATCAGCATTCATTCCGTATGGAAAACAGCCTGTTCAAAAAAATAAATAAATCGAAAAAAACGTCATCATCATGGACGGGAACCATTATTATTGTGTTAGGTTGCAGAACAGGATTAAAGTGAGAACACCCACTAACCTCCATGGCTTTTATTTGGTCAACCAACGTGCCCGAATGCAGTGGATATATGCTTTGGGTTTGTTGACGAATCGCTTCATCAGCAGCCGCCAGTTGTTTGCCTTTCTCAGTCATCCAATTGCAAAGTTCATCCATTTGAAGCTGACTGGTCAAATCCACATCTGCTTTCCCGTGCAACTTTGCGGCGAAAACCATATCCAATTTGTCCATGAGTTGTTCAGTTTTCAGTAACTTTAAAAAACAACGCGAGCAGTGAATGAGATTATTCACATGTTAGGCGAATTCAAGTGAAACATATCAGTACCAATTTTTCTGATTCAATCTAAGCAGGAAGCACACACGCAACCACTGAAGTGACAGTGACAAAGGGTTATCGACCGTCCAACAACCATCTTAAGCTCAAACCCAATTATGATCATCCCATATATATATATATATATATATATATATATATATATATATAACACTAAAGACTCCTTTGAACAAGTAAGCTCACCTTGGTCGCCAAATCAAAATGTTCTGAGGGATCGTCCGTGCCAGCTGATAATTGGTCGCACAACTGCCTTGCTTCTGACAACAACTCACGCGCTTGTTCAAGACGATCCCCAGCGACGGCCAAGCGAGCTCGATCCACGTCCGAGCTTCCAAATGGAAGAGAATGTGAGGGCGAGAAATTCACGACTAATTCAACTTCTTTGTATTAACATAAATAATGCTCATTTCTATCCCAGATTAGTGTTCTACACAACCATCTATAGGTGACAACTGTTTTAAAAATAATTAGAAGAATCAGAAAGTTCGAAAATTACGAAGGACTAAGCAGTCAACGTGTGCATTTCAACCAACCAACCAGATTCATTCAAGTAGTGTTCTGCGTAAGCAGCTGAAAGGGATCAGTNGCTCAGATTTTAAAGGAACAGTAGTATAAAACAAGCCACATCCATCCACAGGTGGTGTATTCAAATCCCATTCCATCACATTACTTTCTCATAATCATTTATTCTCTGACTGGTTTCGAAAAACCCACGACCATGTTTCAGTAAATCGATTATCCATTCAGTTAGCGGTACATGAGGAAAATGAACCATTGCCACACCAGTTTTCTTGTCTTTTACAAACACAATTGCACAGTAAATACGAACCAAGGGTGAGTGCATTTGAGCGAGCACTCGTTTCCAAACGGAGAAAAAAGGTGAAAACAACGAGCCCGGTAGTGCTTGCGCTGCGATGTTCAAAGCGAATAGTGCCCGTAGATCACTGATGATTTTGTGAACACATAGTGGATATCAAATCAGTTGACGTGCAGCGTGATAGGCGCTTCGAAAAACATGTTAATAACCAATGTGATCCATAGTCTTCAAAAGTTACGAGTTCAGTAAATTGGAAATACCTAGAATGACGAGATGTGAGAATATTGCACTTCATCCCAGGTATCGAAGAATTCGAGAAAACTGAAACAGTTTACCACCACAATCGATATTCCACAAGAAAATGACAACAACAGACGATAAAAATGTGAGTTTTACAGTAACGGGCGGACTCTATAATACCTGGCCAAAGTGGATTGTAGTGGATCCAGAAATGCGTTAGTTCTTTCCAAAAGCTCTTCAAATCGCACTTTTGGTCCCAAAGAGGTGCCTAATTTTTCCATCAGATCGGATAGATTCATACACAATTGCTCGTGCTCGGTTCGAACTTCTTGAGTTGTCCGGGGAATCCGTAGATCTGTGGCAATCTGCTCCGGTAGGCGAGTCATCAAACGTTGACCAGAACTATCCAACCGTTCTATCTCCGGCTTCAAGTTCGCTAGCTCCGTTTGAAGTTGATGAGCCTGATAAAACACATGAAAGGCGAAAATCGACTACCGTTTAGCTATGCATGATGAAAAAAGCAAATGTCCAGAATCCGAGACATTCTGCCAGCTTCATAATCTGTAAAAATAGGATTATCTTTGCAGACCCTTTGAACGTGACCGTGTGAATGTCAGGAATGCAGCAGGAACGTATAGGTGAAATCAATCACAAAGAACATATTAAAGACTAAGAAACGCACACTCTCTCTACCAGATGGGTCAACAAGCCGCCTTAGCCAGAACCCTTGAAACCTTCCATTTAGATGTATGCTGTGTCTCCGAAACACGCATACAAGATTCTACTTCAGTCATCTCCCTCCGTTCTCCAGATCCAGCCTCATCCTCAAGCTTCACTCTCCGTGTGTCAGGCGATTCGGCATCCGAAGCTCGCGGTGTTGCTGGCGTTGGGATTGCGCTAAGTGTCAAGGCCGAGCGTTCACTTCTCGAATGGATCCAGGTTGACAGCCGACTTTGCGCCGTATGTCTGGATGATTCAGTACGCATCAACAGCTACAGAACGATGCTTATTCATCGTATCCGCGTATGCACCGACCGATTGCAGTTCACCAGAAATAAAGGATGAATTCTACAAGGGCCTCTCTCTACTGCTCCAAAGCGCTCG